GAAGTTGCTCGCCAGAACCGACTGTGCTTTCCCGCTTTCAAATCGCTTATCTTGGCCGCTCCAGCGAAGAGCGCCTTCCTCGCGCTCCGCACGATGGCGAGCAGCGCGGATGAGCTTAGCGCGGGGCACAGTAGATCAATTATCAATCGCCCCCTCCCGGCTTTTTGATGTACGCGGCCTGCCATTGTGCTGTTTCCGTCGCGCGAATCACGATGAAAATCCGCGAGACGTTCGGCGGCGTCGCCAGTGGAGCGAGTTCAAAACGCAACACACAGCTCCCTCGATCTCCCTCCGCCTCTCCGAAGCGATCGTCGGCGGGCAGACGTTGGAGAAAAGACTTTCCCCCACCCCATTATTTGTTTTTTTTATTTTTGCAGTCGAGAAAAGTGACGGAGTGCCAGCCAGGGAACAGGAATGCGTTTTGAGAGAACGTCTCTCCCGAGGAGACGGAGTGATGAGACGCTGGGTGGATTTTTGCATCGCAGGAATGTGGGATATGCCGACGGCTTGTGGAAATTTCATCCAGCAGTGAATTGATCACGGCTCATCATCATGATCGCTTTTATTTATTTATATGGCTACAAGCTTCATCAATTGTTGTAAGACCAGGGCAGTGCTATTGTTAAACATGCAAGTCTGACTGACAGCACAGCATTATGGGTATGACATTCAGGAAGCTGTGATCCCTGATTTCAAAATTTGTTTTATTCCTGCAGAGCTTGCGATGTTTCACGCCTCGTGCTGAACGGCACATTCTCAACACTTGTCACAAGATGCGCACATTCCAGAGTGACCGGAGTGATCAAAGTTGTGTGAATAAGAGAGCCTGATCGGCCTCGCATTAATGCCAGACTCACCAACACCTGCCAAGCGCTGAACACGTGACAGGGGGACATTTTCACAAACATCAGCGACTCTGTGAACACGAGTTACCTGAAGGTATTTTTTCTAGGATGATTTATTTAGTAATAATAACAACAACAACTCAAAATCAAGTCAAAGTGATTTCCTCCTCCAATGAGCGTCGAGGCGATACTCATCTCCCATTTAGAGCCACGAGTCAGTGGTGGAAATTCCACATTCCTAGAGTGGGGGAAGAGTCCATCCATTGGGCAACCACTGTCGAATTCCCCACGAAGTGGCAAGAATGTTATCAACCTCAGAGAGATGATGATGGGCTGAGACGCCGGCTCTTAAGCGCCGAGACACCTGGTCGGATTAACTGAACAATGTTGATTGACAAGCAGTGTTGAACTTTACATCACTTGGTGACTGGTGATGGAATGGCAGCCAAAGAAGAGAGCGTATCCCGAGAGGATGACCATCGAGAAAATGGAGCAATAGGATTGAAAGGGACGGGAGCAGCACTTGACCGTGATGGATCCCAACGGCGTGGAAAAGCCTTCATCCAGCAGTTGATAGACAATGGCTGAATGTGACTGAACTCAAGGAAGGACGATACATAAACGTGTACATTGTTGCATGCAAGATGCTCTTGGTAAAATCATTGCATCGGCAGGCTCTTTCATTGCGCCCGCCTACATACACACACGTGCACACAAAAGCCCCAAAAAATTCCCCGTGTAGCCGTATGGACCACGGAGACGAGCGCTGTCAGCGAGAATCTGTTAAGGCTGGCAGTGGCGCGTGAGGTGGGCGGGTGTGGTCACAACCTCGCCTGGCTACCTTTGTCTCTCCAATGCCGACGATATTTCACAACGCTCGTTGAAGATTTAAAAGTGGATGTAAGCGAGGCCCCGGGACTGGTTCGCACGCCACTCACCACTGACGTTAGCCGTGCGCTTAGGAACTCGCTTGCTCATGCGTGCAGTGTGCGCTCACCACTTACACCACCGCTCCGCAAGGGGAAAATATCCCCCGTATAGCCTGGAACTGGCAACTGCTGTTAGCGAAGCCACCTGAAGGACACACGAGTGGATAAGTGGCCAACATCGCGCCCGGACGTCTTTGCCTCCCCAGTGCTGATGTTTTTACACGCGGCACCAGGTAGGCATTTAAGACTGAGCTGACCCAGGGGAGACCCAGGACCGGTTCAGATATCATCGTCACCGTGATTAGTCGTGAGCGCAGCGCGAGAACCGCTGCATCACTGGTCCACGCGCAGTTCCCAGGCACGCACCCACACACGCGTACGGACACGCACGGACTGGAATAACCTTTGCAGTTCGTCCTTCCTCCCCTGGAGGGAAGGCAGAGCCGAGACGACGGTCATTAGGGTAAGGACCCTTCCAGTCCACACACTTTTCCCCTTAACCTTCGTCAGATTTGCCAAACGTAGCGCGGTAATTTAATGTTTGCCACTGCTCCATCGCCAAGCGACTAGAATCACCGAGAAGTGGGTACCTGATCTCAACAGATCCTCAGAAGCTAAGCAGGCTTGAGCCTGGATCATGCTTGAATGAGTTGACGACCATGCATAAAACAGTTAACATCGGCTTTTGTGAGGCTACGCTGCGAGTGCAGCGGCGATGCAGTGGGATCGATTGCGTTGGACCAAGCTCCAACATCTGCGCTCCATTCCTTCACCGATCCGCACCGATCAAGGGTGGTGAACCATTGGTAAAATCACCCACGTGACCCAGGGCGGCGTGCGGAGGCCATCATCCAGCAGTGGATGGACACAAAATAACTCGACGACGTTACGAGCGCATTTCTCTTCCGGCTCTTGGACAGCGTGCGCGTCGGGCATGTCCACACTCGGCCTTTTCCGAACATTCCCACTCATGCTGTTTAATGTCAAGATGGGCTACAAAACCCTTTGGGACGAGGGCTGTAATTTGCAGAAAGCCCCGGAGGTGCGCCGGAGGCATCACGGCTAAAGGACGCCGGACAGACAGTATGTGTTTAATGTGCGTCTATAGCAGCCAGTGTCATTAAAGTCATTTTCAAACCACTCGTTGTTCGGTTTAAACGAGTGGTGAGGCCGGTGGTTGGGGTTTGCCACCTCTTTCACTGGAGACCAAACCGCGGACAGAATTCTCAGTCAGCACCAGGGTCTATCAACACTGTGCAGTTTACTGCACAAACGTTCAACGAAATGCTGGTACCAAATTTCCGCGCAAATAATTTCCTGCCACGTGAACACAGATGCCAATTCGTTGGACAGAAGCACCCAGCTGAGAGTGCTGCAATGCAGCACCATTTAGATGCTATAGGTGAAGCAAACAATAACTGGCGTTGTTGTTGTTGTTGTTGTTGTTAAAGTTGTTGCTTTTGCGCGAGTCAGTGTATGTACGTATGTACGTTGAACGTCTTTGACACCGTACGTAGCCAACCGTGTTTGTCGGAGGTGCGGGGGAAGGACAACAAACTAACACACAAAACGCGGTTCTTTAAGAAATTAGTGTTCAATCTAGACGATGATTTAAAAGTGCATAGCTCCAGTGGCTTCCTAATATCGGAAGGAAGAGCGTTCCAGACGGCCGCAGAAACCCGTCTAAAAGCGGTGAGCGTTTTTGTTCGATGGCCACCCAAAAGTATCTCCGTGCTCAAGAGTGCGTGGAGGATTTCTCATCTTGGGCAGCGGCCGTGAGGAAGTGGTGGAAATTCCACATTCCTATGAAAGGGGCCCAGGCTATCCATAGGGCCGCTACCGTAGCCTTCCCTCTCGCCAAGTGGTCTTCATTTGTTGACCCTGGAGTGATGACGAGTGTGAGTCCACCCCCTGACTAGGATTGGAACTCGTCACATTCTGGTTGAGAGTTCAGCGCTCGTAACTATTGCACTACACAGCTAGAGCACATTGTTGACACGCGTTACGTTGTAGGATGATCAATGGATTTCCAATTCACTTATTGTTCGAATATATGCCGTTTATTACGTTAAAACGTATGTTGGAAAATCGATTTGATGGATAAAATTGGAATGGGACCTTCCAAAAAAAATTATCTTGCTCACAAGAAGGATAAAGCATTACATCTGCTTGTTTTTTTTTTTCAAATAAAGTAAGTTAGCATGCAGTGAATGAGTTATGTTGAAATGAGCTACTGCGTTGGATGCCATCCAATCATAGACAGTTATAATCATGAAGTTTCCGTAAAATAAGCTCCACAATCAAAATCATAATCAGGACAAAACTAAAAACATACCAATCACAGCACATGGCAGCAGGGGTGAATATTAAAGAGAGGAAAAAAAAACCGCTATGTTTTGGAAAATGGTTTAGATAATCAACTGATTCAGTTATTTATCTTACTTGTTATGGGTAAGGCCCACTGAGCTATATAGCTCCGTTTCAGAAGTGGCCTGGCCACAAATTAGAGCTCAACAAAGTGGATGATCATCATGTGGAAAATTATAGCAGCCAAACACACCAAATGTACTTTTCTAAAAGTGGAGGGGAAAACCGGAGGGCCCGGAGAAAAATCCATGCGACCACGGGGAGAACACACAAACTCCAAATATACAGGTGTCAGGGTCGGGATGGAACTCCATTACCTCCTGTATACCAGGCGAGGTCGTTAGCATCTCGCCACCATGGCGCGCCAGTCTACTTAGGTAAAAACAGCGGAGTAAAATCCCCGACCGGGATTTTAACCCACGATCTTCGAAGAAGTGCAAGTCCGGCGCTGAGAGCCCCTTTACCACCCGGCGGGGAGCGACGGAGGACGTCCCAACTTCATGCCCAAGAGACGTCACCACGAGCACAGCGCCGCGTTTCCAACCGAGAGATTCCGTCGCGCGGCTCAGAGACAAGCACCTTGCCAGAGCGACCCTCCTTTACATCGAGCGACCCTCGCGGACGCGGACAAAGCGTGCAACATTTGGGAGCAACCCCAGGTTTGTATTCAGGATCTGACTTTTAAAAAAAGTTGTCGCGTATAGCGACGTTTTTTTGAGTTGAGCTTCGTCCCGGCGACTTTCGCTTTTTTTTTAAGGAGTTGGCAAGAGGGGGCACGGCACGCAACGCTCTCGGCACGGCACGGGACGCGACCAGCGCGACGGTCAAGAAGGAGGTGGTGCAAGAGTTGCGCGCCTACCCGTCTCGTCCAGCTCGTCCGACTGCGACTTGGAGCGGCTGCTCAGCCCTGTGGAGGGCGCCCGTTTGGGGGGCATCGGCGCTGCTGGGAAGGCACAGAGATGCATCGAGCCCCGGGGGATCGTGCGTCAGTGACGGGGGGGGGGGGGGCGGTAGGAGGTCAAGCGGAGGTCTCAGGGAGCCGGCGGAGAAAAATGTATACGATTTGTTCGTTTTTTTTACGGGTGGTGAAATAATTTGCATAACGGGGTGCTGCCGGGGACAAAATGTGTGGGCGGTTTGATGTTTGCGTTCCACGATAACGTGTGAACGTGGTGTTCTCTTGTGGGCTGAAAGCATCCTATTTGGCAGTGTCGGTCACTGCGGATGCAGTTCATGCTGGGTAACCATAAGCCTGCAAGCAGCATGGTCAGCTATGGTTCAAATAACCCCCAAGATCTGCTAGGCAGGGGTGGCGGGGAGGCCCTCATCTAGCGGTGGATTGTCCAACGGTTGGAACACGTACCGTTCCGCGTTCGCAATTTGGTCGTTTTCGCTCCAGTCAAGTTGTGCGTCCCCCACCCTCGCAACATCCTGCAACTTCCACCGACACCAGGCGGTCTCCGGGCTGCGGTCGTCCTCGTAAGTGAGAGCTGCTGAGCTCAGCGGGGCGCCGCACCATGCTGAAATCAAGGTCGAGTATCGGCGGATTGGCGCCACGTGCGTCTCGGGAACTTAGAGAGCGAAGGGGGGGGGGGGGGTCCTGATGGGGAGCGAGGACTCGTTGCGCCTCGGGCGGGCGGTTCAGAGCGTGGTCTTCGCCGGCTCGCGATCGATGGGAATTGAGCGTGCGACTCAAGTGGGGGGGGGGACCGTTGTTTGAATAATCAATGTCGGCACTGATCTGAAGGAGCTGCCTTTGAATGTGACCGCCGCGGTAGCAACGCAAGGTGCTGGTCCAAACGTGGATATTATTTTCGCCGCGAAGCATTTTGATTGTTGAAAGACAAAGACAAGCGCGACGATCAACGCTGCTGCCGCCGTTGGTCGACAGGCAGCGATGCAGTTTCGTGGAACATTGTCCATTCTCGCGTTCACAATGCATGCTTCAAATCGTGTGCAAGAGAATTGAACACTGAGCATTCATGCAAATGACCGTTTATGCAAATGATGTACTCACACTACATTGAGGATTACCGAGCAAACACAACACTGTACAATTGAGTAGCGATACAAATTAGAAGCAATGCAAGTGAGAAGGCACAAAAAAACACAGGACGGAACAGTAATACATTTCTGTGATCACACGGGAACATCGATTTGTGACAATTCCTCGAATCGCTGCTGACGGTGGTGGTGGAACCAGAGGGTTAGCATGCATCGCCTCGACCAATCACACTCGGGATTATCCGTGTCACTCCAATCACATGGCCACATATCGACCAATCACGGTGGCTGCGAGAGACACGCTGGGAGAAAATCATACGGCTGTGCGGACAGCGACCGTGCATTAACGCGCGCGCGCGCCCTGACAGGCGTGAACGCGCGCGGAATCTATCATGAGGTCTCCTATGCCCAGCACCGCTCCCCTCTCCCACTACCACAGGTTACGCAAGGCACTGCATCTGCCGCTGACGCATACATCTCTGTTTACCGCGGTGGGGGCTCGCAACGCAACCAATCATCGACACACTGGCTCGTGTGGATTCGAAAATTTCACTACGAGGAATAATGATCTTCTTGGTTCTTTCGGTAAAGTCACGTAGAAGGGAAAGAATAAAATAATAAAAATAAAACATAATAAAATTATTCTCACGACGTTTCGGCCACAACGCAAGCAGCCAAAACGTCGTGAGAATTATTTTATTATGTTTTATTTTTATTATTTTATTATTTCCCTTCTACGTAACTTTATCGAAAGAACCAAGAAGATGAATCCCTGCAGTCACGAAAGCTTTAAATCGAGAGGAATAATGAGTTACGTTCATTGGCCGCTTAAATACCCCCCGGCATCTCAAGGAGCCTTCCATCACATCACAATCATTCCCAACGTCCAGACTTGTAATTGTTCAACGTTGTGAATTGCTCTTCAACGTACCGGCGAATTGTCGCTGTGTTCGCGTCACTTCAATTGTTTGGCTACGTTGGGGGCACTGCGGCTCGTCACATCTGTCGACCTTCGGTAGTCGCGCCTCGAGCGGGCAGTTTGGAGCGCGGTCATCGCGGATCGCCATCGATGGCGATCGATGGAGATCGATGGCGATCGATGGCGATCGATGGCTATCGATGAGGATCGATTCGGGATCGATGGCACGCGATTCAAGTGCGACCGTCGCTTACTTCGCGAGGAGGAGGGTGTACGACACACATCGGCATTCTGGCACAATAAAATAATGACGTCGTTTTTCTCTCTTCATTTCACTCGAGGGGACCCCCTAATGGCAGCTGGCCCTATCATCAGTGGAGTGGTGCGGGAGGGGAGGTGGGGAAGGTGAATTGATAATTGGTTTTTTACCCTTCCATCTGGCAACAAAACTGACACCTTTTTACAAGGAGTCATGTTTGCATAGACCACAATACCTGCAGTCATAATACAAACAAAAGACATAACTCTGATAATGTGCACTGTCCTTGAAGTTGATTGGTCCACACCCGAGACAGCTTTCCTTAGAGCCTAGTCTCACATGGGTTGGACCAGATGACGCCAAAAGGCGCACAACTCAAAGACAATGCACCATCAGAGTATGATGCAGGTATTGCGGTCTATGCAAACATGACTCCTTGTAAAAAGGTGTCAGTTTTGTTGCCAGATGGAAGGGTAAAAAAACAATTATCATATTTTTACTGGCAAATGAGGTTCCCATAGTGAAGGTGAATTTAGTCGCGTGTGTCAGGGTCGATATTTGTATCAGTTCATATACTGAATGTGAAGTGATGGTACAGAGGTTGGGGTTGGAACATTGTGCTCCGAATTTGGTGACCTTGGTTCGATTTTCCAGCCACGGCTAACATCAGTGGCGAGTGATAGCTGAACAAGTGCTGCCCAACCCGCACTGACCAGCGTGGGGAAGTATGGTCAAACAACTTCACGGGAACAACAAGACGTGGAGAGGCTTCAATCCAGCAGTAGATTGACAAGAGTTGTCACATTGTTGTGTTGTATGTACTGCATGTGACGGGCTCGTGTGAACCGATGGATCCAGACTGATACAGTCACCCCTTTGTTCAAGAATCGATTGTGGAGTGAAATCACGATCGCGAATCGTGACAATTCGTCGAATTGCGCGGAGGCTAAGCCGTTACACATCTACTCTCTCGCACGATGCTCCTGGCACGGGGACCAATGTAGCATCTCTCAATTATTTTATCCCTTCTCAGTCACGTGCACAGCCAAGAAGAATGTGGTTGCTTTTTTTTGCCTAATTTATACCTTCCGCATGGATTGTAAACGTACCTTACTTTGCGTAAAGCGTCAATGTGCAATTGTTATTCATACTTCGTGTACTACTTTACGTTTTGTGCACGTACGTGCTTCTGACATTGTATCACAACTACTAGATTTATTGTCGTGTACTCAGGTCTCGCTTAAACAAAAAAAAAATCGGTCTCTCAACGGGTTACAAAGCACGAGGAATGAATGATGTCTTTCAGACAAACTGTTAAAAATCCTAGACGTACCAAAAAAAATTGCCCAAGATCAATAACTCCACCGCTGAATTGCACATTCGTCCGGATCCTAGCGCCGGGTAAAAAGTGCAATTTTTTAAAGTCAACATTCATCTTCAAGAAAAGCTATTCGTTAATGAAAGTTGTGACACAAGCTGGCTATTTACTTATTTATTCTGAAACTCAATTTGAAATGTTGCAACTATTGTAAAATGAGGAAGAGGAGAATGGGGTGCAGCTTGGGACCACATCAATGTACGGTGACAGCTTCACTTAAAGGCGGTTCTGCCGCAGCCACCGCTGCCTCGATGGGCCCAGCAGGAATGGTCATTACCCCCAGTGCGAGTCACAGTTACACATTCGCACGGCCACGGAATGCAAATAGAAATTTTCCCCGCAAACTTCCATTCATCGCTCCCATTCCTAAGCCGTCACGCAGGCCTCGCCTTCTCGGCAATGGAAAACTAGGTCACAGTCAGTGTGGGATTGGGGAGGACTCAATTAACGAGCGACTGTTAATTTTAGGGGGGGGGGCGGGTCCTTGCCACATCGCGGGTGCCAGCGAACGTCTCGAGACTTGGCACAGCATCCCAATGAGGCTCCCCGTGCCACCCCCCCCCCCCCCCAGACTCTCCTCTCCTGTCTTAGTGGTTGCCGCCTCGTCTCGTGGGAAGAAGAAGGGGAGCCGGGAGTCAAGCCATCCGCACACCACTCAGAACCACTTCTGACCATCGTCATTACCATCATGATCGGTAATATTTCAATTGCAAATTCACCGCGCATCCTCAAAGCAATTGTCGTGATTCCCCCAGACTGCGTACATTTGCTGACGTATACCGCTCCTGCGCTTCTCTTTAGCGTGCTCTCTGCCTGGTCCCTCGTTCCCTCGTTCGCTCGCTCGCTCTTTCCTCCTCCTTCTCAGCAGGAGTCACCATGACAACCCACAAGGCAGCGAATGTATCGTCGTCAGCTGCAAGCTGCGTTTAATGGGCGTCCCAATTACGCCTCCCGTAATGCTCGGCTGTGCACTCCCCCGTGTGCATGCGAGCGCGCGCACTACCGCCCGGAACACGAGCAGCAACGCACGGCTCCGAGCGTGATTCATGAGCACAGGCTCGGTGAGTTCGTCTGCAGCACCAGCGATGGCTCAGCTCAATGCAGCGGCGTAGTGCGGTTGGTACGGGCCCAGGTGCAAGGATTACATTCCCACACCAACACCACCACCCCGTCTAATGGGCGCCGCAGTGGTGAGACGTTAACTCCCTCGTCTGATATGTAGGAGGTTGTGGGTTCGACCCTGACGCCTGCTGTATATTTGGAGTTGCGTGTTCTTCTCGTGGCCGCGTGGATTTTTCTCCGCGTTTAGAGTATTTGGCTGATATTAATTTTCACACAACGATAAGCCACTTCGTTGAGCTATCATTTGTGGCCGTGTCGCTTCTGAAAATAAATAGCTATATAGCTCAGCAGGCCTTACCTGGTAAAATAAAATAAAATTGTTTAAATAGTTTAGTTTAATTCCACCCCCGCTCTTCGTGGCCCACCAACAGCGATGCCTCTGGCTCAATGCAATGCTGTTCGATGCGCATGGAAGATGAAAGCTGACCGCTAAAATTAGGCCTTGCTGTTGGCTACAAATGTTCTTGACGCACGCGCTGCCGTTATTTCTGGGCTGTCGAAGCGTCAACAATGCATCGATTACCGCAATTTTTATTCTCTCGCGATACGCGCGGCAGACGAATCGTGCACGCGTGCATAACAATGATTTTCTCTTCATGTGTCATTTTTAACTGGGTCACAGCTGCTATATTTAGTGTAATTGAAAAAAGAATAAAGGATTGTTTTTAATCGAACCGTGACCTTGAATCCTGGCAATTCAACTAATAGTAATAGGTTTTTACCCTTTCAACTGGTACAAAAAACTGACATCATGTTTTTGTACCAGTTGAAAGGGTAAAAACCTATTACTATATTTTGCCACTGGTAAAGGAGATGTCTCATAGTGTAAATTCAACTAATCTCCAGGGGGCTGAGGGGTTCATTGTTTCACCTTGACTAGCCAATGTTTAAAACAATCAAAAGGTTTTACTCCCAGTAGGTTGTGTTTTTTTTAATTACCAACAAGAGGCAATCTGCATGGCTGTGCTGACAAAATTAACAATAACCCCTAACCTGAATAAATTGGAATTATGCCAAGTGAATTTCAACTGTTATTTCCAAACTAACCCTACAACTTTCGGTCCAAATCCCAAGCTAAAAGTAAGCCACGTGAACAGATAAATAATTGCTCGCGGATAGATCTTCTAACCGGACTCAGACGGCACGTAAGAAAGCGAGCGTGCTTGGGCACAGAGGCTGACGGAGCACAATGTGCCAGTGGTTTGTCTCTGTCCGTAACGAACCTCACCTCCCAGCCTTTTAAAATTGTCTGCCAGATCTCGTGGGGGGGGGGGGCTTATACAGACGCCATCCCAATTCGTCTGCCTGTCAGGCTCTCTCGACGAAAATCCCTTTGGGCGAAAAAAAAAACGCAATCAAGGAAAAAAACAAGTCTCTCTCGCCCGGGCAGCCGCGTGGCACACACCGCTTAGACGGCGAGCGTTATTTACATTCCGTTGCTGCGAGCTCACTCGATTGCACATTAAATATTTACCGCAAACAGCCCGATAAATGCCACGGCACCAGATTTGCGATGGCAGCACGAGCGCATCCTTGATGAGAGGGGTTAAAAACAACAACGAAAATCGGCCGCCTTTTAAAGCGAGGGCGATACATATTCTTACTGCTCAGTGGATGGTTGCCTAGGAAACAGAATCCGACATCTCGGGAATCGGGACAAAACAGACCTCCAGCGTGCGTGCGAGAAACACGGCTGCGGCGGCGGCTGCTGCGGTGGCGGAGACACACAAAAAAACCACTAAATAAATCGGCGATGGAGAGTGAGAGAAGCTCTCTGAGTATGCACAGAAAATATTAAACCGTGTAACAAGCGGCGTCGTTAGATCGAGAGAGAGAGAGAGTTCCTCGTGAGGTCGTTCATTCCGCTGCCTTCCGATGGCTCGTAGGAGCTAAAAAAACGAGATACGGCGAGCAATTTAAATCTCTTTTGAAAGTCGTCAACGCTGGCTCGAGCCTTGTGTGTGCACACGCATGCATGAGTGAGTGGGCGAGCACGTGGCAGCACCCTGCACCCCGTGATTGAGCGAGCACATGGAAGCACCCTGCACCCCGCGATTGAGCGAGCACATGGAAGCACCCTGCACCACATGCAAATAAGTGACAGCTGAGAGAGAGAGAGCCTGGAACAAAATTACACGATGTATATATATATCTTTTTTTAAGTAACAGCGCGTGGGCTTGGATGTGGAACCCCCACGTGCTTATGAAATAATCGCGGCCGCGAGGCGTGATGATGTGGGAGGAAACGATGCTCACGAACAAGCACGGGCTCCCACCAGTGTATCTGGGGGCGGGAGGGAGGGGGGAGGGGGGGCAAAGGGGAGCTGACAAACACCCCCCATGGAAGGATTGGAACGCTTCTACACCGCTAATGCTCCACACTTTTTACCTGCTACAAGCGCCTCCAAGTGCCGGCACGTGACGCGATCCTCTAACAGAGGAGGGACGGTGCGGACGGCTCTGCTGCCCGGGCTGCAGGACTACAGATTTTTATTTCTGCTCCAGAAAAAATGAGAAGCAGCTTCACCTCTAAGGAAGAGGTGATGTGCTCCGATGACGCGCTTGTCTATTCTTAGGGTAAAGCAATCGCCCTTTGGTGACATCGCTGATGAACTCTCGTGCCCCAACGCGCACTCCTAACGGCTTCCGCGTTTGATTCTAGACGTTTAACCTGCGCCTTGTTCGCCCGCGAGAGGCAACCCCGCACAAGGTGACCGCACAGAAGGCGACCCCACAGAAGGCGACCCCGAAAAGGCGACCCTGCAGGAGGTGACCCCTAAAAGGCGACCCCGCAAAAGGCGACCCCACAGAAAGGTGAACCCAAGACCGTTGACCCCACAGAAGGTGACCCCACAGAAGGTGACCCCAAGGAAGGTGACCCCAAGAAAGGCGACCCAAGAAAGGTGAGCCCAAGAAAGGTGACCCCAAGACCGTCGACCCCACAGGTGACCCCACAGAAGGTGACTCCAAGGAAGGTGACCCCAAGGAAGGTGACCCCAAGACCATCGACCCCACAGAAGGTGACCCCACAGAAGGTGACCCCACAGAAGGTGACCCCAAGGAAGGTGACCCCAAGACCGTCGACCCCACAAAAGGTGACCCCACAGAAGGCGACCCCAAGAAAGGTGACCCCAAGAAAAGCCACCCCAAGAAAGGCCACCCCACAGAAGGTGACCCCAAGTATAGCAACCCCACGAGTGAGCCTTAGGAGTGAGCCCCAGGAGTGAGCCCCACGCACCTCGATGCACCATGGCCCCAGAACGGTTGTCCTGCATCTTTATTTACATGATCAAATATTCTCCCAATTGCATCTCAAACATTCAATCGTTGCGAAATCACGAGATGAAGAATCAATCCGGACGCCTTAAATTAAACTGCAGCACCAAATTTAATGCGATGGCTCTTTTGGTCGGTGATCAGGGTAAGGAAGCCTCCTGGATTCGAACCCCGAAATCCTTGCAATGCCAGCTCAGCGACCTGACCTCTGTTCTTTACCAAAACACGCGTTTATCCTTTTGAAGTATTCAATTCGTAACAATAACGTCATGGTTTAAGACACACAGCAAGATGATGTCACACGGCATATGACGTCATTAGATGTCGTCCCTTGTGACGACATGATTGGTAGGGCAGAGGGGGTGGGGTGCACGCTTCTTGATGGCACTGGTTTTGCGAATGTTATTGGCACTGATTGTCATCTCCAAGATTTTGGGAAATGCCCTCGTCAATTTTGGCAAGTTTTCCACAGGGCAAGTCTCGAATAGCAACACAGCTTTACACTTAAGTTGTGTTCATGTTGTATCATCTTCACGAGGGCTATCGTGCCCTACTTATTTACAGACAGACTGATGGGCGGACGGACAGAGCCGATGCATTAACGCTTTTCAACTCATGTTAACTAATGTTCACTGAATTTCGATTTAAAGCTTTCGTGACTGCAGGGATTCATCTTCTTGGTTCTTTCGGTAAAGTCACGTAGAAGGGAAATAATAAAATAATACAAATAAAACATTATAAAATAATTGTATTATTTCCCTTCTACGTGACTTTACAGAAAGAACCAAGAGGATAATGTTCACTAATGTTGAAATTCCTTAAAACGAATGTTTATGGTCCGAATGAGGACTCCAGTTGCCGTGTGGGCCATCATTGAAAAACAGTGGTGTGGGTGTTTGGTTCATTGGGTTTGGGAGAAAGAGGGATAAGGAAGAGGAGGGATGAGAAGGAGGGATGAGGAAGTGGAATAAGGAAGAAGAATGTTGAAGAGGGATAAAGACGAGGCACAAGGAAGAGGGCTAAGACCCCAACGGAACCATGGTCACCTGTGCACATCACAGCTGCAGTGACATTTACCCGCTGTGGATAAACCAATATTCGACCTCATTTATTCCCCCCCCCCCCCCACGTTGCATAAAAGCTCTGTTGTAACTTGTGACCATTTACTTGTTAAGGGTCATTTCAAAAGGCGGCGACTTTGAGTGAACCGCAGGCGAGTGCGATTGGTCACCATCGAAAATGCAGGATCTAATGCCCGCGTACCGAGTTGAGGAAGGATTTATTTCCACAGGAGATTATAACGATGGATATTGGAGCACGATAAGGATTTGAATGTATAGGGCGTTTGCTTACTAAACGCATTCGCAACACAAAGCACAGAACAGCACTGCTCATCTCAACCATTCCAATGCCCTACTTTAGTTTATCCAAGGGGACCCCCTCCCCCCAGTGGCAGCTGTCCCTGCGTGGTACAAGGTGAACACAGCAAGTGGGTATCAGTCTGCCACTCGGGAGCGATGTTGCCATGTACATCTTTACCAACGAAGCAATTTGCTGGAACTTCATGAAAATTGCCACAATTCGGAAAACCAAGAAAGCGGCACACGTGGCTGACTGTCATGACGATGACGATCAACCTTCGATCTACCTTTCCTCCGTCCACCTTCATCATCGTTGGGCGGGTGGCTGACGGTGATGACCTTGAGCTCCAGCCGGTTGCCGCCCTGCCGGATCATCTGCACCACCTGCCGGTGGCCGGCCTTCACCACGTTCTCCCCGTTCACCTGGCCGGTGGGGGGCAAGAGGTCGGAGGTCAAGTTGGGGCGCGACGACATTGCCAAGGTAAGATTTGAAGTTCTCGTGACTGCAAGGATGCATACTCTTTGGTTCTTTCGGTAAAGTCACATAGGTGTGAATAAAAAATAATAATTAAAATAGAAATAACTCAATAAAATCACGACGTTTCGGAAGCAACACAAGCTTCCGTCATCAGATGGGACAACCACAGCAAAAACTAAATTACTGTAGTGGGCAATTTTTTTTTGTTTTTTCACTTACGTACCTACGTGACTTTACCGAAAGAACCAAGGTATTTTATGTTCCCATTTCCCTTGCCCAGCGTCCGCGTTTCCGGTCCATGCGCCATGCCCAAGCACCCTCCGAATAGCACGGTTGACTACGTGCGGTGGTCGAAAGAAGTTCAACATCTACGTACATACATACAAGCATCTACTTACACATATGTCTGCCTGCTTTAACAAATATTGCTGGACAATATTAGTCCAGAAGGCGTATTGGGTTTATGGACTGAATACATATATTTACTTTTATATAGGAGGCAAAGTGATATAAATCAATGTATTTGCTTATTTGTATATTTACTTTATTGCCCATATCACTCCAGAGCAGTGCATAATGAGTTTAAAAAAATATATAATGTGTGTGTGTATATAAATGAAATGTGGCGATAAAAATATGAAAGAGATATAAACTCAAAAACCTGGCAGGAATGCTACAATTTATGAAGAATCCTTGCTCACTCCATCAATGTGCATTTGCTAATGCACATCACATGTTTGACAGCTCTCTCATTTTAAAGTGAGAACATGCGACGGGTGGGAAAAAAAAAAGTTGGTGTCTATAAGCTTGTCAATGTCAGCCAACATGTCTGGCATTTCTTTTCGCGAAAAAAAAAACATGTCGTTCCTCGGGTGAAAATTGCACAACGCTTCAGAGCAATTGAGAGGAAATCGCGCGCAGAACGCAAACGAACGCTACATTCGCTCGCGCGCCTCCGTTTCGCGGGGACGGGGCCCTGCCCTCGTGGTTTTATCCGTGGCCAATCAATGGCAGACGCCCTGAGGTCAGAGCGAGGTGATGTCTTAAGAGCCCAACGGTTGCCGTTTAAAATCAACCAATTTCGCCAATTGCACTTTCGCTTAATGGCTACAACAAAATTTAACTTTTTCTTCTTCCACCCCCTCCACCTGCCACCTCCCTGCCCCCACCTCTCCAATTTTGCCACGAAAAAAAAAGAAATAAAAAAATCTCGTCAAAAATAAACAGCCCGGTTCTTCGGAGATGGCCGCGTCATTCGGTGTCTGTTCAAACAGCATCGGGGTTTGGGTAAGACAGGGGCCGCTGCTCTCATATCAGTGGCGACACGACTTGAAAGCCGAAGCCATCTCTTTGCTCGGCGGTGTGTCTCCTGGATTGTACCACGTGCTATTTGGCACGAGGTGCCAACGTTTCGCTCCACGTGGGTTGGGAGCTTCTTCAGAAACCGAGTTTTTTGGTTTTTGTCAACTGAATTCAGTTCCACGTGCCGGCAGCTTCCTTCTCAGAGCTCGGTTCCTGTAGAAGAAGGGGAAGCTCCGAGCACGTCGAAAATTCATTCCTCCAGGAACTGAATTCAGCTTCTGAAGAGGAAGCTCCTGGCCACGTTGAAAGACACATTGGGGACACTCTGCTGAACGACAGGTGGCACGATACGAAGAACACACCGGAGGGCTGCGGCAGTACCATCCTTTTGCGCTTCTTATCTGAACACGAGGCCATAGATGTAGAGAAGAAGAATAAAACGCTGAACAAGGCAATGCATCTCGATTACACCGTTTGCGCCAAAGAGCGTAGAATTAACAAACGATGCTGCCGTCACTGTGAATCCCAAGCCAACGCAAAAATATTCTGTACCTCGGTGCCAACTCAGCCTAGAGATTATCGAAAGACAAAAAAGGGCTCCAGGAAATGATCCCAACGATCCCAAGCAGGTAAAGCTAAGAGCCCCCCCGCAATTGCTTACTCACTGTTTGGCAGAAGGGCCTGCACTTGAAGGAGCTATAGAGAGGCCCTCAGGAGGTAATTTGGCCTACTCTGCTATGCTGGTCAGATGTCTTGGAAAACGTGGGAGAACCCAGCCCCTTTACCCCACCAACTGCGACCTGCCTATCCGCTGGTGACCCCCCTCCACCCCTAGTTTTGCAAGTCTGGTACGCTAATCATTACAACCACAAAGGCATCCCTATCCCCAAACAGGGCCCACGTACAAACAATCCTTTTGAAGGACTTTTGAAACCGTTGATGCTTTCGTGGGAACAAACGCGGGAGCGTTCTGGAGATGCTGCCACGGTGCACAGATACATGTCACAGTGCATCATCCTTGCCTGCTCCCAACTGCAATCAAAGGCTTTCACAAACACTGCACTTTCCACGGACACACCACATTCTTCACATCCGCACTTCATTCCGGGCGTGTGCCTCTGACTTATACATCAACGTCACAAATGAAAAGAAGCATTCAGACGTCGGCTGCGTCGTGATAAATACTGTAGCGGCATAAAAACGAGAATGAGACAATACTGTTACGTGTTTCCCCCCCCCTCCCTCCAACCCCCCCCCCTCCCCCCGCTTGATCCCATGACAATTTCATGATTACGTTTGTATTACGTAGGCACGTACGATTACGTATGTATCATACATGGGAGCGCCGCTCAAGGAAATGCGTCGAAGGCTTTGGAAACGCATTTGCACCATCACACAAAGTGCTCGCCGAAGAGACCGCTTAGAGGAACGCGATGTCCGTGGTGACGCACGCTCACAACTTCATAATCCTCCTCCAGCAACGGTGGGCCGCATTCACCGGCACCCAGCAGAGAACACAGTGGCAAGGTCACAGCCAGACCATTCCCATGGACTCCTGACAGCCATCTCAATTTCATAATCATCGTCGCCGTGATTATTCAGCAGCCACGATCTATCAACTGCTGGATGAAAGCCCCCCCCCCCCTCCCCACGCCGTCTCTATCTCTCACTCAGGTCAATTTTACAAGCAGGCATTTCTCCACGCTTCTTTTGCACACTCTTACCATCAATTCACACGTTGGAAATGTGATCGTACTGGGTTGGGTTTGAGGTGTTGTACACACCTGGTTGGACGCATGAGATGGGATAGGAGAGGGGTCGGGAGTTGGGAGGGAGGGGTCGGGGGGCGGTGAGATGATATGTTTGAAGGCACAAACACACTTTTCAGATAAAAAAAAGATAAAATAAATCACCTTAATTAACCCAAACTCCAATTACCAATTTGTACACTTGTCAAATGTATTTTAATTGTCATGAGAAAAAAAAAACGAATGCCTTGTCTTTGAAATTGTAATGGAGCTACTTAGCAATCAACCACCATCACAGCGTGCATTCTAATAAATGTTATCATAATAATAATTGACATTCCCTTTGTTTATCCACTGCTGGATAAAGATCTCACCCCATGCCTTCCGGTCATGGACACTGTATGACCATACTTCCCCATGCTGCTCTGGTTGAAAAGTTGGCCGTTGCCAGGATTCAAACTCATCTCACTGGGTTCACAGCGGCGTGCGCTTAAACCACTGCGACATCCTGCCTGAGAAATACAGCGATGATAAATAAATAAACCGGCAAACAATATTACAGTAGCCACGGGCATCTTAGGTTTGCAGGTGGGCTTGGTGAGCAAGGAAAGTGGCTTAAACGTGAATTGCAGATGTCCCAGCGTGAGGAATGATGTGGAATGCCCATTTCTCAAGAGACCAGTGAGCGAGTGAGTGAGTGAGCGAGCGAGGGAGCGGGGGAGCGAGTGACTGAGCAAGCGAGCGAGCGAGCGAGCAACCAGCTTGAGACATCCATACCAAAAGCAATGAGAAATAGATTATGATCATCGGAGATACATCGCCTGCACACACTAGGCCTGCAATGTTCCACTGGGGGTTGTGTTTAAGAGGCCAATCCACACATTAATCAAGAGGTACGAGTACCTCCGAGCACTTAACATTTTAATTTTTCCACCCGGCAGTTTAGTGCACGTAATTTAGCATTTCCATTTTATATTATTATTACTACTACCAAATGGACAACAGTGGGCAGTGCTCGCTTTAATCGTCACTAAATAAAACTCTTCCTTTATTCTGACGTTATTAACTCAATGAGACGGTGCTCGGGAAATCCCATAAATCAGTTGCATGAAGAAAAAATATGAAGGCCCCTTGGAGTTTTGTTGGACTGCATTTTTCGTAAACAAACGTTTATATTATTATTGAACTATAAAAAAAAACGCAAAGGGTGGGGTGGTTTGGGGGGTGAAGAAGCTGATTGAGCATCCCGTCAGCTACCACCCCTCCGCCTGGCCCATGGGGCATTGCCGAACGGCCATCACTAACGGGTAAAATGTGGCCTGGATCCTAGAGGTGGGGGGGGGCTGGACAAAAATATTAGCAGGATCAACAAAACCCACGGTGGTTTTTGTTGACCACGTTCAGGCTCGGGCCATCTCTCAAGGTCACGGTTAGGTCACGAAAGATAAAGTTACGGGCAGCATCGCAGCATGGAGAGAACGGGTCATAAAATGATAGCAGTTTGTGTCCCGCGGATAGGGAAAAACTACTTACTAACTATAAACTATTTGGTTTATTTTACCAGGCAAGGGCCAGTGAGCTATGCAGCTCTTTTTCAGAAGCTACCAGGCCACAAATGATAGCTCAACGAAAGTGCCTTATCGCGTGGAAATTTATAGCAGCCAAATACTCTAAACGCGTGTTCATTCTAAATGTGGAGGGAAAAACCTGGAGAAGAAAAGCCCACGCAACCACGGGGAAAGATAATGCAAACTCCGAATATACAGAGGGCATCAGGGTTGGGATCGTACTTACAACCTCCTGTATACATGGTGAGGAATATAACATCTCACCACCTTGCCACCAATAAAGCTGAATCAAGCTGTTCCGGTTCGAGGCAGGCACCTGCGAGCATT